CAGAAAGCCATGAGAGCTTCATTGGTATCTTTTTAAAGAACATCAAAGTATGAAGGGGGATTGTTGGGAAGAAGAAGGATTTCAGCTGGAGAGGGAGGGGCCAAGCAAGGGTTATGAGGACTAAAAATGGTTCATATTCTATACATACATTTAGGAAATCTTTATCACGTCTAGCTGTGAACCCTATGATCTGTAAATCCAATCTTCCAGGCAACATATATGCCCACATGTGCCATAACCAATTGCTTTCTGATTGGTTACAAGGTCAGCTTCACAGGAGAGAGTCCATGACTGTTACTGTGATAGTCCCATCAATGATAACAGAGAGGTCATAGGTCGGTGAGGGAACTTACTACTGTTGTTTAGTTTAATTGACATAGCACTAAAGCACCTTCTAAATATCTATATGTATGCATATAGAAAAAAATCCTCTATCAGCTTTAACAAAGAAACTGCTCCTTGCAGTGAATAAATGTAAGTACAGAAAGACTCATTGATGGAGGAAGGTCATTGGCTAATAAAGAAACTGCCTTGGCCCATTTTATAGGTTAGAACATAGGTGGGTGGAGTAAACAGAACAGAATGCTGGGAGGAAGAGGAAGTGAGCTCAGACTGGATAGCTCTTCTCTCTGAGGCAGATGTGATGAAGCTCTGACCCAGGATGCACGTAGGCTAGAATCTTCCTGGTAAGTGCACCTTGTGGTGCAACACAGATTATTAGAAATGAGTTAAGAAACTGAAACTAATGGGCCAAGCAGTGTTTAAATGTATACAGTTTGTGTGTTGTTATTTCGGGTATAAGCTATCCAGGCGGCTGGGAGCCAGACTGTGGGAAGAGGCCCGCAGCTCCTTCAACAACTCATAGCTGCCCAAGATGCTAAGACCCGAAGAAAGACTTTCATATCCTATCTCTAAAACTCAGGAAGAGGAGCTAGGAAGAATGAAAGAGCTGGAAGAGAAGGCTAGAACCACAAAGTGCTGTCATCTGGACATGACACACCAATCACAATCGTGAGCTCATGGCAGTTGCTTTCAGTGAGCCTTCACAAGACTGGCCCTGTCAACTCTCAGTGACAGACAAAGGCAGAAGCCATGGGTCCCTACCCCTTACTCCTAATGACTGCCTATGATAGGCTCTGGGAGATGCGGAGTCATTGTCTTCAGTTGAGAATTGACTGCCGAGTCCAGAATTATTCCAACGGAGCTTCAAATGCCTGGTCACACAGATGGCTCTGCTTCAAGTCAGAGGGTCACAAAACAAACCAAAAAAAAAAAAAAATGGGAATGTTGAAAAAAATTGTAAGAAAGGGGTTTAGAAGAATGGGAAGGTTAGTTATGAAAGGTGGGAGGGGAAATAATCAGTATATATCATATATATGTGAAATATATACTAAACTGAACAGATTTAATTAATAAAAAAGAAAACAATGAAAAGACAAAATGAACAGCATTCCTTCCTACCTCTCCATGTGCTGTCAAAGGCTCCTTAGTAACTAGAGTTCTCTTGGTATCTTTGCCATCTCTTTTTCTTTCTGGAAGCAGTTCCTACTGATTTCATGAGCCACAAATTCTTTTATTAATTCCAGCATTCACAACTTTTCACATTAGAATGGATGATGTAATGCAGTTTAAATAGCAAAACAGCAATCGCTTTTCTTAGGGGTGTATAAAGTGATCGGACGGCCATTGACCTGTTCACTTCAAAGTCCTGTGGTAATTGCTTTGGGCCTCCCACTCTGGGCAGCAACAGGATGCCCTTTGGAGACCAGGATGGAGTGACATGGCCCTCAGTGCTCTCTCCCTCCATTTTCCACCTGACCCAGACTAGCTGTCTCCCTGAGGTGGCAGATGGAGGAACCAACAGCCCTCTCATGAAAAGCAACAACCAAAAAGCAAGCGCTGTGGCCAGGCCCTCAGCCGGTCTTACCCCCAGGCTTTGCAGGTCTCGGGAGGGCTGGGAAAGCAACAGCCTGCAGGCCCAGTAAAACAGAGGGCTGTCTTGTGTTCCGAGGGCTCTGGTTGCAGGCAGCAGGCTCAGGTCCAGGGGGATTCTCTAGAAGGAAATCTAGTGCTGACACCACCTCTGGTGGAATTTACTAGAAGGAAATCTGGTACTTATAGAATCAACAGGAGGCGGAAGGAACAGTCTGTAAAAGGGCCATTGACCAAGAGAATCCAGACATGGGTCCTCAGGAACAATCTAGCCAGCATATTGGGCACTAACGCTAACTCCATAATACCCTAAATATATTCTAGTTGTCTGCTCCACTTTCGCTCCCAGGGCCCAAAGACAAAGTGTGAGGTGGGACCATCTAGTCTGCCAAGGCCCTGCTTTTACCCTGTCTCCCTTCTGGCTTCAGGGAGAAACACACACACACACACACACACACACACACACACACACACACCGTCCCACCTGTCACCAACAGAGAGTTCTCTAGGCACTACACTGGAGGTTGTGGTATAATATTGCCAAACAGTGATAAATCTTCTTCCACTAATAGTCTGACTCTGTAAGGCTAGAAGGGCAAGTCAGGTAAAGACTGTGGCATGTTAAAATTGGCTGCCCTGGCCTTATCTGCATGAAGGATTAGCAGAGGAAACTAACTCCTATAGAGCTCAGACACAGGGCAGTCCTGTGTTGGGCATGTCATGTGTGGTTGCTGTATAAATACCATCACTTCCAAGCCCTTTAGAAAGTCTCCAGAAAGGAGGACAGTAGTGGACAGTGAGTTTTCTGACCAGGGAAATGAAGGTGGCAACTGGAGGTGGCAGAACATGGAGCTAAATAAAATCATGTGTCTAAAGATGCCAGTGTATGAAGTGAGCCCCTCAGACTGACAGGTAATTAGCTTCTGCCACTAGTTTTAATTTCGTATGTGGGCCTGGCTATAGGAAATCATACATGGGTGGTAAGGGTTTTTTCCCTCTCCAATCTCCAAGGAAATGTAACTGGGTATGAATGAGAGGCCAAGTCATATATCAGTAGTCTGCAGAGGGTCTACATAAATTTCTTTCTTTAAAGTTATTGAACTGTTTTGAAAATGGTCTCAGCAGAAGTTATTCCAAGTGTACCAAAAAGGAAACCAGAGTTTTAAGAAAATACACTCTCTTTGCTGAGCAAGGCAAACATATCAGTATTCAGAGACACAAAGCAGCCTCTTGTGCGTTATCTCCTCGACCAGTCCACTGAAAAGCTTACTTTATGTCTTTAAAGGGCTGATAGACAAGGAACTTTGTGGTCACTAAAAATTAATATCTACAAATGGTTCATAGCCACTTTAAAAAGACAGGCCCTTTCAAAATTGTTCTCTGTTGTTTATGGTCCTCTGTTATGGCATTTTGCATATTGTAAACACAGGACACATTTCTGTGCTTTAAAAAAAATACAAACTGAAAGCGTACTCTCAGGGGAAGGGTTTTTTATTTAAGGAATTGCACAGAGTATGACTTGCCTGCATTCTTCTATGCATATACTAACACATTGTATCACAGAACTTTTTATAGCCAAGTACCTTATAGAATAATATTTTTCCAATAAACTCTCAGAGACTTTCTATTATGATAGGCTTTTTAACTCTTCTAAGAGCTAGTGTTTAAAGTAAAAGCCTTTCTATCTATCAAGGCAAGAAATTGATACCATTTAAGGATGACTAATGCAGGGCCATCTGACGAAATGCCTTCGGGTTTGAGAACTTGAGGATGCAAGTGTGTAGATGAGAGCTCTGCCGGAACCGTACCTCCTCGTCTCGGTTCAGTAGAGCTAAAAAGAAAGGCATCTGGACCTTAACCTCTCAGTCCACAGACCGAAAAAGAAGTGTGGGCTATCATCATACTTCCCCTAGATCTTTGCACAACTCAGTTCCTCAATTCCCAAAGGTCACCTCCATGTGGTCCTTTTATGGTGGCCATTTCTGGGGAGACACAGGCTCCCTAAACTAGTCCATGGACTCATGACTTCCTTAATAAGGCATTTCCTCCCTGCTTAGTAAAAACCTGTGTTGCTACGTCCTTAGAATCTGTTGTTAGGGGTTTGAAGGTTCCAGGGAGCTGGGATCTTACATAAATTCTGTAAACATTTAGTGAATGAATGTGTAGAAGGGAAGGGGAGAAGTGATTTCTTTAAACTCCACTTGAACCAATGTAATGAACCACCTACTAAAAATGTAATACTATATTCAAAATCCAGGAAAATAGCCTTCAGCCTTTTTTTTTTAAATCACTTTAGATCTGTGAGTTAGACTTTCTTGTAACACCTTGTTTCCTAACGCCTGTGTTTTGGCCAGTGATCCCAAGTACTCCTCTGAGGGAGGCAGGTGGAGAGACCCACATTTGCATAGAGCAGAAAGGGCATGGTAACATCTGGCCAAGGCAGTTGACTGGGTCCATTTGTTCGTGCTCATTAAATCCACATTAATGCACGAACTATTGTAAATGTACAAATGTCATTTGGGATGGGTTGTTTTCTCCCAGACCAGTGGCATTGACTTTGGGGGTCTATCTCTGGTTGTTTACTTGCCAATGGCATTTGACCTGGGGTTAGACCCATATTTAACCCTTTCCTGTAGGTCAAAAGCAAATTGATTTGGCAAAAGTGAAATTGGAAATGAGTCATCTGGGCAGCAGGTGTCCCTTGCTTGGCAAGGGCTCCAGGTGGAAACGTTTTCAGACCTGTTCCTGGGCCATCTCCAAGGAAGCTTCAGAGGTCAAGGAGGCAATCTCAAGACATCCCATGTGCTCAGGGGCTGGGGGGGGGGGACCATAACAGGTGCCTGCTTGGTGCGGTTTTCCCAGCAGGTTGGGAGACTTTCAAAGAGGTCCATTTGGAAGATAATTTATTCATATATTCATGAACATTTGTCTGGCATTTTCTGTGAAGTGATTTGCTTAGAAGTTGCCCTAAATGGCTGCAACTTTGCCCTTTAGTCTACCTCCCACCATCAGTCAAAGACTTTGATTTCAAGATGAAAATGTTGTGCTTTTCTCTTCCTTCTTTCTAGAGGATGAGGAAGATGAGGAGATGGTGGAACCCAAAATCGGCCAGGACTCTGAGCTGGAAAATCAAGACAAAAAGCAGGAAGTGAAGGAAGGTATGGTCGGGGGGGGGGGGGTTAAACTGGGCAATTATTTTGGGTTTTTGTTGCCTTTTCCAAACTAAAAGATGATAGAAGAAATCAAGCTAGCTCACACCCCCTTTGCATAGGACTTTGTTTGACACTTGATACATTTACAAACATTCACTGGAATCTGCAGGGCAAGCATTAGTTGTTTTCAAACAGACGCAAACAAATGACATGGAACCAACTTCAGTGCCAATGACAACTCCAGTTAAGTGGTTATTAAATATTTTAGAGATAAAAATAAGACAAACTCTCGGTTGTCATGTTAGACCATGAAAGATAATCATGAGGAAGAGGGGCGAATGCGATTATTTTATCAATTATTTCTCAAGTTTTACATATGCTCTGTATGGAAACATTATCAGCAATTACTACAGTTCAAAGTGTTCTTCCAGAACTCTGCCCATATTGGGCAAAAAACCTTGGACATACGTCAGCAATAATAGTTACTAGCACTGAGGATTGGGTTCAGCAGTAAAGCACTTTTGTAGCAAGCAATGCCCTTGGTTCTGATTCCAGCATTGGAAGGAAAGAGAAAACAAAACAAAAGCTAGCATTGATTAAGGGCTTCCAGTCTACTTACCTCTCTTCGAAGCAGTTGAAAATATGATGTCTGCTGTTCAAAATGTCCTTTGGAGGCATAGAGTATTGCTGTCCCTATTTTACTGGCAGGGAGCTAAGATAAGGAAGATGCAAGAACCTGCCACAGGATGCATAATTCACTTACAAGTACATGAGCTAAAAGGTAGGTTGAATCTTGCATGAGCCAAGACGTAGGTTGACTCTACAAATCTATGATATACTACAGTGCCATCTTCATGACATTTCCTTAGACTTTTTTTTCTTTTACTACAAGACTCTCATTCATTGAGACAGAGAGACTTTGAGTTGTCGTTATTGCTGAAAAACGGTGAGTGGTCCCTGCAGAAGGGAGTGCAGGTTGGAAGGGTCTCCTAAACATTCAACTAGGCTCCTCAAGTACAGACCAACATAAGTCTAGAAGCATCTCAGTTAATATTTAAAATTTTAAAGATTGCCGTGACTGTGGCTGGGTGCGTGACAAGGGCTCGATGGGAGAGTTTTGAAGGAATGTGTGTCTTGAGCCCATGTGCTTGCTCTAGCTGCGTGTATTTTCATGAGAAAAATCCATCCAGTCTGGAGTCCCCACAGTTGAAATCCATGCACACTTAGAGGTCGGCAGACCAAATGGGGAGAGATTTCTTAACTTTTAAAAATTGTCCCCTAAGGCTGGAGAGAAGGTTCAGTGGCTGAGAGCATTTGCTGCTCTTCCTGGGGACCAGAGTTCAATTCTCAGCACCAGCGCAGCTCACAACCATCTGTAACTCCAGTTACAGGAGATTCAGCACTTTGTCCTGGCCTCTGTGAGCAACAGTCACACAAGTACACAGACATATATGCCAGCAAAACACTCTTACAGATAAAATGAAAATAAATAAATCTAAAAAAAATATTTAAAAATAAAAATTGTCTCCTGATAAGGCCTATTTGAGTTCTGCACGTGCGTCCAATTTTGTCTTGACTCTCTTTATGCAAACTCAGTTATAGAAAAGCAAGTGTAAAACAGTGAGGACAAGAAAGGCGTCTGCAGCCAGGGTACCTGGATCAAATCTTGGCTCTGCCACTCATTAGCTGCATGGTCCATAATGACTAACTTGGTTGACTTTCTTTCTTTTGGCCCGGGTTTCCTCATCTGGCAAGCAGAGATAATACCTACCTCCTAAGTTTGTGTTTTTACATAAGACTCAAAGGGGCTAATATGGAACAACTTGGCACAAAATAAGCACTGTATAGGAGTTTGCCAAATTATTATTAGTGGCCTTGCCTTACAGTGCAAGGTCTGTAGCTGTGTGCTCCCCGTGAGGGTACAGCCTTGCGTGCCCCAGTTCCCTATGCTCAATTTTGCTGTAGCCCATAGCTTTGAAATCAAAATATGCAAACAGCCTTTTCTGTGTCAAAGAACCATCAGGAGGGCGATTACCGTGCCCACCTTCAGGTGTCTAGGAGGGGATTTCGGGAGTGACTGAGGACAGGAAAAAGATTCAAAGTCTCAGCAGTCATATCCATAGAAGGAATCGGGTTTACCCTAAACAGATTCAATGGGAGCGATTCCACACTTAAACTTCTACTCAAAACATCTTTTTTTTTTTTTTTTAAGCCAGAGAAATGAATGCTGCTATCACGGGTACAGCCAGGGACACAATAAGCCAGGATCTATTGAAATGCTTTCGCTTCCTTTTGCAGAACAGCTTAAAACATGCCCAGTAACACACAACCATGGAGTTCTTGTAGGCCTTGGCAGGGATTCCCCACTGCCACCCCACCCCCAAACCCAATCCCCAAACCATCTTCCTGGCAAAGCCAAGCACCTCCTTCTTAAGTTCCAAGCAAAAACACTCTTCAGTTTTAACTGCTCCCCGTGCTTTATGGAATTGATTAAAGCCATACTAAAAGTCAAAAAGAAGTTTGAAAGAACATTTCCTGTTACCACAGCACGGTGTGCCTCTTTCTCTATTAATGGCGTTTCTGCAAATTAGCACATAATGGGTTAAACCATGTTTATATTGGCATCAAACTATCTGGCTAAAAAAAAAAAAAAAAAAAAAAACTTTTAGAAGACTCTCTAGCCGATCTAATTTTGGCGCCATTCACAGGACTGCTGCAGTAGTTAGGGCTGCGTCAGCACTCCCATGGGGAACCCTGCCTTTAGGGGGCTTAGTTCTCAGCCATAAAAATGTGCTCTGGGCTAAAAAACTTGACAAACACATTTCTAAACCAGGAAACACATTTTAGGAAACTCCTTCCTTCCTTCCTTCCTTCCTTCCTTCCTTCCTTCCTTCCTCCCTCCCTCCCTCCCTCCCTCCCTCCGTCCCTTTCTTTCATTCCTACTCCCCCTCCTCCTTCTTGAATTAAAACAGAAATAGAAAGAATTTCAATATGCATTAGTTTTTTATTTTTACATATTTCTCCATCTGACACCAAAATGCACTAAGTATAAAGAAACATAGTTTTGATTTGCTATTTTGCCAGATGCATTTTATTGCAGGAAAAAGTATACAAACTTGCAGGCAACTCTTCAACTTTTCATCAGAACTTGGGAACTCTCTGTACGTCCTTGTTAGGTTAAGAGAGTCCGAATAAGAGGATTGGAGCCCTCACTCCTGTAAATCCAGACTGAGCCGTAAGCCTCGCCTTAACTTCAGAGACAAATGTCTGTCTGCGTTGGTTTCATTTGGTTGCCTGCTGCTGTTTATGAACTGATTGTACTGTAAAATTCCCATTAGGGCCACTGCCCCAACTGTATCTGATGTTTTCATTGGCTACATGGGTTACTTATTTTTATCTTTTAGATACTCTTACAAAAAATATCTTTTAAACACCATGATTTTATATTCCAATGTAATGATGGATTGAAAACAAGGCAGGCTATTTATGAAATAGGTATTTTACAAATGGAAATCTCAACTTAAAAGCAAGATTAAGGAGCTGGGGAGATGGCTTCGTCAATGAGTGATATACAATGCAAACTCATCCTGAATCTGGGTTCCTAGTGCCCATGTGAAAAGCCAGGTTCTTGTCAATAATCCTAGCACTGGGGAGGCAGAGACCAGCAGATCCAGGAGCTGGGTGGCCAATCTAGACAACTGAAGAGGTTGAGGTCCCCAAAAATGGAAAGGTGATCAAGAAAGACACCTGATATTGACTTCTGACATGCACACACACACACACACACAAACACACACACTCACACCCCACAAGACACCTACATATGTAAGCAAGCACAAAATGAAGTTAAAATATTCAGTATAAAGTGTGAGCTTCATTACATGCCTTTTGTCTTTGTAGAGGCAAATGCTCTAGAACCCTAGCAAACAAGAGCTGGAGAAAACGGTGAGTGGGACCAGTGAAGGAGAAGCTAAGTTCATATCAGAAAAGTGAAGAAAACATGGCCAATAGGACAGAACCATTTTAAAATGGACATAAAAAATGTACTTCATATCTAAGACTAAGCAACATTAGCATTTATATAATTGAATAATAAAAGGAGATTCCAAATAAAATTTATACTAGATTTTAATTTTGCAGGACAAAAATTCATATAATTTCTAAATTTTTATAAGTTTTTAAGCATTTCATGAGTCTAATGCTTCTCTTTCACACATGTTATTCAGGTGAAATGTAATGGGGTAAGTTTATAAATTGTCTTGCTTGTTGGATACCATGTAAGTTATATCTACAGTCTACTTTTTATGGAGATTCTTCTTTCAAAAGTGGATAAGCTTTGTTAGCCATCAGCTCCTGAAAAGGATTCTCCATGTTTTGTGTTAGGAGGCCAAATGAAATATTATCTAATCCATACCCACACTTTGCTCTAATGTAGCTTTGATTCTAAATTAATTTGTACCTTTTTCACATACCTCAAACATGTTTTAAATATATATATATATAACATATAATTTATATATATATATAATTCTTTATGATCATAATATAGATAGCAAATATATTATGATATATATATTTCATCAGGTGTAAAGGACAGGCGAAAGCTGCAGGAAAAGTATTCTGAGGAGAATTTGGGGGCTCAAATGGAAAGAAGACACTGCTGATCCTTTTAGATCTCTGTGCTTGAAGCACTGTGAAGTCCATTAACTAGGACTCTATTTTTCTGTCCAAGAGGTTTTATTTCGCAGTGTATCTTTTGATTGTAGATCCTGGCTACTCCATTATGTTCTCATTATATTGTAATAACACTTAGCAATTTAAATATTTTTAAGCAATGAGAGATTGGTTTTAATTAAAAATAGCTGTGATTTGTTTTTACTTTCTAGGTTGGATATTGTTTGTCAGTTTTTGAAAATGCTCATCTGCACATGCATGCAAACAAATCATGTCATTTGATCCCTTTTAGACATCAAAGCTTGATATAAAGTATATCCTTTGTTTTTGTTCAGCAGCAATTTGATTTCAGGCCAAATTGTATTGTTAAAGATAATGTCTGGAGAGGCGGCTGTTTCCCCTACCTGGACTCGGCCTCTGCTAGGGACACTTTGATCAGTCATTTATGTTTCTCCCAGAAAAGAGGTTGCATGTCTTGAGAGCTGAGATCAAAGTGACAAGAAGGTGTAGGCAAGAAAAGAATTACAGAAAATTACACAGATACTATTCTTTATTCAAGGTAATAGACTTGCAGGAGGAGATACAGGGTAAAATAGATGTGGTTCAAAAAGATAAACAGAGAGTAGACTTTCTCAATTTTCTCCTATTGGGTAGAAGAGTGGGGAGGGTAACAAGAGGAAGTCCCTGCTGCTGTGCTTAATCTCGAGCATGTCTTAACCACCTATGAACCTATGAACAGTGGTCAAGACTGAACCTTTATAAAAGACTTTTGCTTGGCCCACACTAGCCTTGTTTGGTGAGGCTAATTACTTTGTTAACAGTATTAACCCAACAAATGGGACCTAGCAGTTTACAGATTTGGTCTTTGCTTCACCTGGCCACATTGAGTAGCTTTACTTTACTCATAGAAGGAACAATTTAAGTCGCACAAAAAGGCTTAGAAAATATATAAATAAATTAAATAAATCCTGATAATTTATTATTGAATGCTTATCTACTTTAGGATATGTGTGTATGTATATATATGTATATGTTATATATATATATATATATATATATAGTTTTAAACTGGAGTGTTGCTAAAAGTTTAAACTCAGTAAATAAGAAATAAATAAGAAGTAAGTGGCCAGGGAAATATTGGTTTCTTAGCATCCTTCTCTTTATTAATGACCTCTACTGAATCTCAAACTGAATTCCAAATCTCGACATCACCACCTTCGTCATTTCACAGACTGGTATATGGACAAGACTACACAGTAGAACCTGGTGGGAATTTTTGAAAGTCCCAACACACCTGGCGCACCTTAAATGTCAAAGAGCTGTTCCGAATTCTGTTTGGGGCTGCCACCAGCGATGAGTGGATTGTGGTTTCAGGTCTTCTGCGTGGTTGATGGATCACAGTTCGCCATGTTGTTAACTGAACAGCATTTCTGAAGTGTGGATCAACTACGTCAGAATCATTCTCGGTTTGCTTTTGTTTGTTTGTTTATGAATAGAGTCTTGAGTCTCTTCAAACTCCCAGTGTCATGGTCTGAGGCAAGGAAGCGGGAGACCACAGGGGCAAGAGAAATCCCCTGTCGTGGCTCTACAGAAGGAATTCTTAACTGTCCAGATTTCTTAGGACAATGACCTTGGAATAGCATTTATCAAGTCAAATACACCTTCTATAATGTTTTGTAGCAGCTGACTGTACCTTAAAGATTCCTATCACCATGCGGTCAGAAAGAACCTGGCCCTGGTTGTGGAGATGGCCTTAGAAGTCTCGGGAATCTCTGAGAAAGTCCACTAGGCCCTAACTGTTATTTTGATGGCTGACTCTCCTGTGAGGTGGCTTCTGGAGAAATGAAGGACAACCCAACTGTGTTTCCTGGCTGTCTGCTCGGGGTAGAAGTAGGGTTTCTAGAGACCATAAAGATTCAGCTGCAAATTCCTGCCCTAGAGGCTCCTCCAGTCTGGAAGAGTTCCTAACCTCTCCCCTAGAGTTGTATACAAAAAGGGTTGCGGAAGGAATTGCTTATATGACCCGCTGCCAACATGGAGGCGAGCTGACTTATAGACTCTATGGAACCCTGTCAGCCATTTCATTGCCCTGTCTCCTTTTGCATCTTCAAATTTAGCCAGATAAGATTAAGGTAAAAGTAAATAGACACTCTAAGTCATAAAAGCAGCTATGGAATGTTTCAGAGATGCCCTGTGTGACTAGGAAGGACCTAGTCAACATTTTCATAGCGATGCCCCAGCTAGCCAGTGGAAGTCCAGTGGAAATACCTAGTGGGGAGCAGAAAGCCTTCTGCACTGTGTTGCAATAGATTCTAATTAGTACAATTTTAACAATGGATTTTTCTGCCCTGTTTGAGTTTTTTTCCCATTCAATTTGAAAGGAAGTAACATTTAGAATGAATAACTTAAAACATGCCAATCTATTCTCCTTTGTAATTATTTTTAATTCTTCAAAATGGCAGATAGATGAGACATGAAATCTTCAGGGAGGATAGTTACAAACACTTTCTGGTGTTTTTCTGTCAGCTTAGTGGCTGCACATGGATCTTGTGATACTTTAATTATCGTCTGCTGCCCCATGACCCTCAGTCAGCACCACTATCCCATGGCTCCTCAGGCCTCAGCCTGGTGGGGCTTCCTGTCCTGTCACCCAGCTCTGCCATGGCTGTGATATGTGGGTTTAAAGTAAGTCTTTATCATTTTATTTATCAACAAGACTCAGGAGTCAAAGGCTGTGGTAAAAACATGCTACCTCAGAGAAGCTGTGTAGCAACCAGCTGACATTGCTTTTTGGCCAGAAACACCACAAGAGATACATCTTTTCCCTCCTTGCAGAACCAAAAGGAAGCACAAACTCTAGTCCCCACCTTTTCCTTCCTGGTTGTCTACTCTATCCACATTGCTGGCTTCTCTATGGCCAATTCTATCAGCTAATCACTGGCTTCACCCGGATTCAAGGTATAGCTTTTTGGGGCAGTCTTGGGAACATCAGAGAACAATCGAAATGTCCCACAACACCTCTGTCGTGAGGACAGTTTTAATCCTGATTAACAACGCTTTCCTTTCCCGTACATTATCTTTCTTGATAAGCAAGCTCTTTCACGGGTGGGATTTCTCTAGAACACTTATTAATTGTCCCTTTTCCTTCCCCAACAATCTCTCTTGCAAAAAAAAGCGCCTCCAAGGGAGCTGACAGAGGAAGAAAAACAGCAGATCCTGCACTCAGAGGAATTCCTCATCTTCTTTGACCGAACCATCCGGGTGATTGAAAGAGCACTCGCTGAGGATTCTGACATCTTTTTTGACTACAGCGGTCGCGAGCTGGAGGAGAAAGACGGGTTCGTTGCTTATATGCATTTGGAAAAGCACAGTGTGATGAACTGGTGCTTCTGTTGCCTTTAGTGTTCTTGGGATGTGGGGTCTCTCGAGGCTGCCCAAGTTGGCCGTGTACTGGGCTCAAGTGCCCTTCCGTTCTCAGGCTCTCCAGTGCTGTTAGCCCGGCTTTACTCGCTGATTGTAAACACATTTATTTAGTCTAGCAAATTTCTGGATTGAACTTAGCAAGCAGCTTTGGCTGTGGGCATTGGTTTTAACTTCTGGTTTAGCGTTTCCCTGTAATTACCATGTGACCCTGGGAAATTCTTTTGAACTTGATATCTGGAGCCCAGGCCAGGTACCAGAGACAAACAGAGTCACAGGCATTGTCCCTGGAGAAGGCGTTCTCCTGAGCAGCCGCAGAGATGTGTGGGAGATCGGCTAGACTGTGTCTTCTTGACTAAACAAACAGGAAACTGGAGAAAACTAAAAGGAGTTCTAGATGGTCACAGCAGAAGTGAGAAACAAGAGTTTGGAGCATTCATCTTCTTTTTGGTCCTATAAGATCGTGTTTGTGTTACAAATGCATGTGGACATTCTAGAAAACATAGGAAATATATGGCAAAAAAGATATTTACATATAAAATAAACAAGGAGGAGCCAAAGAGATGGGTGGAGGGGACTGCATATGACTTTCTCTGTGACTGCGATTGGTGTACGTGTTAGAAAGGGCAGGCACTGCTAGCCATCCCCATGGGATATCTGGAGGCGCTTTATACGACACTTAAGAAACAAACACAATTCAGTTGTAGCTACAGACACCTTTTGTCTGAAAACAAGTCATGAAAGTAGGATCACTTGCCTTTTGCACCGGATCTGATTTTTTTATTATTACTTCTGAGATTCAGATGCATTCTTTTTATTAATTTTTTTCATTTATTTTGCACATCAGTCAGTTTCCCCTCCCTCCTCTCCTCCTGTTCCCTCCCCCAGCACTCTTCTACCTCCCCCCATCCGCTCCTCCTCTGTCTCCATCAGATGCATTTGTAAAGGACAGTGTGACATCAACATTGAGGATACTGAAAAGAGCGTACAGGAGGCATGAAAAAGAATTTCACAAGAGTGTTTTGCTAACATTCTCAAAAGTGGTCATCGTTTAACTGCCCAGAAGAGATAAACAGGATCTTGAATTTGCATGTTCTACCAATGTTTGCTTTTTTACAAAAGACATTTCTAGCAACTCATTGATTTTAAAGGTCTCCCTCCCTATCTTAGTGCATGGCCCAGTGCCATCCTGGTTTTCTAAGGGGATGAAACTGCATGCACCCCTTCCCTGAACCTATAGTGCTGGAGCTTCCATAGGATTAGTAGGGTGTACCAGTTACGGGAAAGAAAGGGAGATCATACTATGTCAGCAGACCGGAGCTTGGAGAGAGGCTTTCTGAAGCAGACTACTCATTCTGAACAAGAGCTACAGAGGCGAACAGTACCAAGGTGAGGTAGTGGGCTACAGTGAACGGAGGAAGGGTGACATGCTTCCTGAACTGAACTGAAGAACTGTAGGCAGACTCTTCTGCACTCCCAGTAGCTACTGGCACAGAACGGGGGTTACTCAATTTAAGCGCACAGACCCTTAAAGCATGTGTGGAGTTCTTCAAAGGCAGTACCAAGGCCAGTTGAACATTAACCAAATAAACACTGGCCAAATTGCAACCAGTCCTCTGAGACAAAATGCTCTTTTAGCCCATGACTGACATGGATGTCTGGAGTACTCTCGAGACAGCCCCGCTCTCCACCAGACCAGTCTCATGGCGGAAATAATCACCTACTGCCACCCCTAGAGACAGCTACTACAGCCCATCCCAGTTCACAGAGAGAAGCATGTATATCACTGTGGCTCTAATAGCATACAAGGTAATATTGATATCAAACAATGCCCTGTAGTTTTATGATCCTTTAATTGCAGGGAGATCTAATTTTACTAATCTAATCTTAGTGTGTGTAAGAGTGTGGTTACTCGAGTAGAGGCGGGAAGAAAACTTCTGGGAGTTGGTGTTTCCTTCAACCATAGGGTCAGGGAATTGAACTTGGGACATCGATCTGCTGAGCCCCCTTGCTGGCCAAGGGAATTTTTGATAACTCTGTTTTGCACTAGAGTCTACTAAAGGGAAGAAAAACGCTTCAGGACTCACTAAGATAAAAGCCTGAAACAATTTGGACATTTTACACCAGGCTCAGAGCAAATATCGGAAGCTTTCTGAGCCAGCAGAAGAGCTTTTCGTGAGGAAGAATATCTTGAATTCATTTACTCAGGATCAGGTGCTGCTGCCTAGATTGACCTTCTGCCTTCTGAGAGTATTATATGCTTTTGCTATGAAAGTGCTTCACTCGAACCTGGCAGAGCCAAAACAGTTCTGAAAGCTCACTTTCCCTCTGCTCTTTAACTCCCTTAGGGATGTCCAGGCTGGAGCCAACCTTTCCTTCTCTCGTCAGTTCTATGATGAACATTGGTCCAAGCATCGAGTGGTCACTTGTATGGATTGGTCTCTCCAGGTAAGAATTGGCGCTGATGGGACAAACTTGACTTGTGTTCTTCTGCCATTTGTATTAAACATAATGTAGTTATTCCCCTATTTTAGATGCATTTACTAGTCTATGCCTCTCTTCTCTTGCCCATTCATTTTTGTTCACATTTCTCTGAAGCTTGGGGTTAATTCCCCGTTCAGATAGCTGTACTTATTAATTAACATGTTCTCAGGAACGAACAGCCAGGACCAGTCTATGCAGGAAACGTTTGTAATTGTAGTCACCACTAATTTCCTACTTTTCAAGTCCTATGGGTACTTTTAACTGACCTCTGGTTCCGCCAGTTTGGTTGTCTTCCCTGTACTTTGAGAAATAACTTCCTCCCACCGAATTCTCACTACTCTTTACAGATTCTCTGACCCTTGCAGACTGATGCCCGCTCTTCCGCTTGATACACTCACTGACCCAGAGTTCCCCATGGCTAGCCATTTGACTACAGCTCTGTTTCCTACTCATTCTCCCTCCTGATTCTACTTCGTACATCAAACAGATCCATACAGCCATCCCAGAGAATTGCAAACTAGTCACGAACTCGTCATTCCATATAGCCCCAATCCTCTTTTGCCTCCTCTGTTATCTGAATGTAGAAGACATCGTAGTACACGCCAGGACCTGATGTCAAACTTTCATCAACAGCATAACTAACTTCTCCCTCATCTTCCTGATCCAGTCCTTCAGCAAGAAAGTCCACTTTTCTATGCATATCTTTATCAATCTTACATCTGTTATATCTGCTTTATTAAAAACCCTATAACTAGGTTGGGCATAGTGGTGCACACTTTAATCCCTGCGCAGACCTGGTTTTCAACAAATTAAAAAAAAACTCAAACCTGTACATCCTACTTTGTGCATATCCACTCAGTTTTTCCTTGGGACGTATAATGAAACAATCCTCCTCAAGGATTCAAATGCAAATATAACCATTTCATTCTCTGAAATAAAGCTCCTTCTTGCCTAGACAAAAGAAAGTCCAAACCCAAAACTTGATATTTGAAGTGAAAATAGGCAAACAAATGTCAGCTTGATGAGTGGACAACCCAACCATTTGACAACATACAAATCAGTGTGCCCAGCACTGAGCAGCTCAGTCGTGTGCAAAAGCACACAACTTAGTTGTGGTGAAGCCAGACTTTGAATGTAGGTGGTCTGAGTTTTGAGCCATGTAGTGAATTAGTTTTTAATCTCTATAATTTAAGTGCCAATCATTATATCAACTGCCTTGAAGACTTTATCTTATTTTATCCTCAAGAGAATTTTACAAGGCAGTCACTATAGCTGAAGATACTGAGACTCCATAGATGCTAAGTAACTTGCTAACAATCACTCAGTCAGGATACAGCAGAGCTGGGCACAAGCCTTGCAATAGTCTCCTGCATAGCTTGAACTGCTGCTTCCCTCAAAGAGCTGCTTCTGAAGCTGAAACCTAAACAGCTTGGAGGTGCTGAGGGATCCAGATAAACAGCAAGTACTATATGAATTCAGTGTAAGTAGGGGTCACTTTCCAGTCAGACAGCATCTCAGAAGACTGTGCTTTAGGCAAAGAAGGAGAGGCAGGTGACGTAGGGAGATAAGCGACAGAGGTCTACGAAGAGTCTCATTTAATCCTGTTGGGAATGGGAGGAGAGTACAATCCCCAGAACTGTCCTGTCAGCAACCTCCAAGTGAGCTGGGCTTCTCTGCTCCTGAATCCTCTTTGACATCAAACAACAGAGCACAGAGAGCTCTGTTGTCCAAAGACCAAGACAGCCAAGCTCACCCAGTCTCTCTGCAGTGTGTGGGTGGTCTGTGAGCACACCCTGGTGTGCAGAGAAATCAGACCCAAGCCCTAGGAAACACTTCACTCGGTGTGCTCACTTATTCATGGTCAGGAATTCAGGCAGGAACTTTATCTGACACATTCCTCAACCAAGGCAACTGTTAGTGGTTCCCAAGTCAGCTGCTAAGGCTCCCTGAAGAGACTGCTGGTATATCAGCGGTGCGGCTGGCCCTGCCTCACCTCAGTGTGCGGTTGCATGGGTTTGTTTCCACACATGGTTCTTCCCACGTGACATTTGTGTCAAACAGAGTGAAACTGGGAAGCACAGAAATTCTGTCAGGGAAGGACTACATTTCCTTTGCCTCATATTCTCTCTCTCTCTCTCTCTCTCTCTCTCTCTCTCTCTCTCTCTCTCTGTGTGTGTGTGTGTGTGTGTGTGTGTGTGTGTGTGTGAAACCTGCCTGTCTACACTGTAGGAAGGGATTTGTAAGATGTTTTTATAGAGAGTTTCAAAAAACTAGAATCAGTAATTCTTGTGTCTTAATTGTTTTATTGGTTCAAAGAACTAGATTTGCATGCTTCTGAGATGAAGGGGATTTCTGAATTGCTGTAGACACATTTGGTGATATTAAGACAAAACATAAGTGTGTAACACAAGCTCAGTGTGTAATGGTGCCAGATACGCCTTGGAGAGTTTCTTGTGTGAACAAAATGGAGCTGGTGGGAAAGAAACGTGAGAGACTTGCATAATTCTACTCTCTCTCCTGCCATCTACTCAGCAGTGTTCAGACAGGAACGCTGTCCACGGCCCATGTGTCGGAGTGTCTAGGTATGTTTAAAGTCAGACTTTTACCTTGCTCACACATATGTACACCTTGCCTATATAAAAGACACCTACAGTCCTGCCATCACATAAGACACTAACCTGAATAATCTTGAAAATCTTGTCTGGTTATGAATTCTGTCAAATTTATAGAATCGAAAGAGAGTCCCTTCTAGTAGTAATTCAAAGCCATTGACACTTGGAGTTTACAAACACTCCATGCCTTCTTCTCCTTCTTACCTATCTTAGAAAACAAGAGTCCTTGACGGTCTCTCTACATCTAGTCTCTGCATATTAGAGTTAGCATATTTATCCTTTTGTAAAGGTTATTTATATATTTCATTAGTTATATTTTTAATTGAAATGTAATCATATTATCTCTTTTTTGTCTTTTCTCCCTCCTCTCACTTCCCTGTGTCCCCAATCTCTTCTCTCCCATGTTTATGTTCCCTTTTTTCTTCCGTGTGAATGTGTAGAAATCTAAGCACAGCTTGCTAAACCTATGTAGTGTTGTTGGCATGCACATGCTTTCAGGGGCCTCATACCTAGGGATGAAATCCTCTCTCTCTCTCTCTCTCTCTCTCTCTCTCTCTCTCTCTCTCTCTCTCTCTCTCTCTCTCTCTCTCTCTCTCT